TATGGTGGCTACATTTAGTAAATGTGTTTAGACTACTGGTCATTTGTGTTACAGGATTGGCTTTTGTGTTTTAACATTTGAGAAAAACTGTAATGCTCCTGTGATGACGGGAACGCTGCATGTTTGCTGTGGCACAATGGGCAGTAATATACAGCACTGGATCATCTGCATATAAACTAGTTACAGTGAGATGAAAATGTGAAAACAATCCATGTTCATGCGCACAATTAATGCTCCGCGACATGTTAGAAACCTTATGTGAGTGGATCAAAACTCTGCTTTTTTAATTTGTCCCATTGTGTAGATTTATTTAGTATCTTTTAGTCATAATTAGTTGTCAGTTTGTGTCACTGTTGGTCATTTCAGGCTGTTTCTGGCCTTTTTTATTCCCTTTGCATCTTTTACAGCCGTGTTGTCCTCCTGTTACACATTTTCTATGTAACTGCTTTTCATGAGTCAGGTGCTAATTAGTCATTACGTGGCCGTTTCACACCTGGGTAGTTGTTTTGGACTTCTTAGTTATCATTAGTTGTGTTACTTTTGGCCATTTTGTGCAGTTTTATGGTCGTTTCACGTAGAACAGTTTATGCACCACAGCAGAACCAGGTGTGGTGCATCCTCACAAAGTCTGCTCAACAATTCATCAGAGCTCACATATGCAGACGTAAATAAACAGGATTTTATTCAGATTAAGTACCTGAGGTCCAGGAAGTCTTTGGAAAAAACTGAAGGATGTGATCGAAGCACAAGCTGAGGTCCTGGAAAAAACAGACTTTTCAATAGTTTTCAATTAAATTCAAAGATTTCTATTTTCCAATTAAAGCACCTGATAGCAGCCAGAATAACAGCTCCAGTTCTACAGTTCACGCTGTTACGTGTGCTCTTATCACAACTTATCAAAAGTAAAATTACGAAGGAGAACAGAAGGTCTTGTTTTCCCGGACGCCGTGTATTCATGTGGGGTCTTTATTACAGCCAGACTCTGAGCAGAGATCCAGAGCTGCTGTCATGTGTTTAATGGCTTCTTACTGTCTGAATGCGGAGCTCAAATTAATACTTTCCCTCAGCTTTGTAATTGGTTTGACTCCGTTTGAACCAAATTACACAACATAATTATCTTTTTTCCTTTACCGAGGCCACTCTGTTTGAAGATTATAGCCTCGGTGGCCTGCGCCTGACTTACAGACTAATGGAGATGGAAATGAGCAGACGCCGGCGACCGTTTGTGTCAATCCTTTTATTCATTTTCAGTTCCTCTTCCAACTCGACTCATTGTTTCCTGTCTCGTTTGTTCTATTCAGGAGAAATGATTTTTACTGACCTATACACTCATCAGCATGTCTCCTAAAGTTTAAAACCAGTCATTTTAGAGTCAGTAACGGGTAAAGGGCTTCCTCTACAACTTGTTTTATTTTTTAGAAAAGACTGAAGTGATGTCAGTGTGAAATTTCTGTGTTTCCTGTTGAAGTTTAACAGGGTCCAGTTATATATTTTTATTTCCTGGCAAGTTGCTGTGTTTAACTGAATCCAGTGGTTTTATACAAACTTGCAGCAGCACAGCATTATAGACCCCGTCCACCTCTGGCAGCCATTACAGCGTTTCCTGTTTGACTGAAGAGGAAAACAAACCCTGAATCTCAATTAGAAAACGTGCAGCATTTTCTAAAGAAAACCCAGACGTGGCTGAGGACACATTCAGCGACGTATTCACAGATTTTAGCTGGAAGGACCAATATTAGTACGTGCTATTTCTGACAGACCGACAGAAAAGTCACGATCAAGGATGAGAAGAATTAATTTATGTGAGGACACATTTCTCTGACAGAAACACGATCACGACTCAAAAGCAGGGAAACTTTCCTGAACTGACATGCAAGACTTTAGACAGCGAGATATGAAATGAACATAATCGAGTGAAGCTGAAAACGCCAAAGCAACAGAGTGGCTAATGATGACGATGTGCCTGCACATCATCCCTGGTTTGAATTTCGATTTAGTGCAAGAAGTCAGAGAGATAACTTCTTCAATGCCCAGGAAACACGCCGCATGTAGGTCAAGAAAAACAATGCGATGGTTGCATCAACTCAGACGTCCTTAAAGCTGTACAGTGCATCAGATTAGTGCAGGAAAGTCGCGCAACATGGAAGTGAAATGAAAACACTTTTATCATGAAAATCAGAGAATAATCATGACGAATGAAAGTGATCTTAATACTGAAAAATCATTGTAGCCATAGTCAGAGTCACTCGTGGGGCTGAGAGGATAATTCCAGAAGGACAGTTCCCGGCTTTCTCCAAAACTGAGTCCATCTTTATACAAGTGTTAGACCTGCGATTAAAGCAGTGGTTCTCAAAGTGTGTGGAGTTCTGACAGGTGGAGGTGCGCCCCAAAACAGATTTCCAAAAGCACAGGGGAAGTGTTTCTGGGGAAACAATAACCCGACGGACCAGTTGCAGGAACCAAAACATGCTAGGTAAGTGTGATAGGCTAATAGCTAGGCTAACACACCTCTCATGTTTTCTTTCCTCAAAAAACCGATAGATCCTCCACTTCTTTTAAGTGTCTCTCGGCGCAATTCTTAGCATATTTTGGTCCGTCGGGTTATTGTCTCCCCAGAAACACTTCCCTTGTCTTTTGGTAAATCTGTTTTTTCCTATTTCCGTTGTGTTTTTGTGCATTTGCAGCGTTTTTCTTATTGCTGGTGTTTTCTTAAGTTGCAGTCCGTTTGGCCTCGAAGGGCCACCGTAGTTTATTATTGATATAAAGTTGCAGTTCGGCTTTTCTGTCATTGTTTAGAAAATGAAAATATTTCTTCCTGCCATGTGGGGAATGATGTAAAAAGTTTGAGAACCACTGGATTAAAGGAACATTGCATGTTTGCTGTGGCCGCTGAGCAGAATGGGCAGTGAAATACAGAACTACATCATCTGCACAGAAACATACAAAACAGTGAGATACAGATTTGACTATTTTATGTTCCAGTGAGAAATGTGAACACTGCATGAATGCTTTAATTTTTGCACCCAGGTTTAAGAAGTGCGTGTGGCTACAGAGTAAGGTTGTTACAATATTGGCTTAATCTTCATGCCTCCTGCTGCCGTTACTCTGTACTGTGTTCTTTTATTCACTTTCTCACACCTTCACAGATTCTGGCTCTTCTGTCCTTGTGTGCTGCAGTTTCTTTCATCCCTCTCCTCCTCTCCCTCTTTTTTTATCTCCCCCTCTCTCACCACTGCTTTCCTTTTCATC